GTTTGAGACCAGAGCAGCAATGAAGCCACTGCTGGGGTCACATACTGTCTGAAAACAGCCTGGTCACTGTCCTTGGATTACCCTCTCATGCCACGGTGGGGCTGCGGAATATGGGGCAGAGGGAGCTACACTCTCCCCTCCGTTCCCGTTGCACTGCTCTTCTCAGGCAAGTCCTTTGCTGAGGGTCTGTGTCTGGCTCAGGCTTTTGGTGGTTTGCGCTGTGGTTTCAGCCTGTGGGCAGCCATGGTGGCTCCTGCCTTAGCTGTGGGATTTCCACATACATTCTTTTCCTACTTCTCCCCAGAGTTGACCAGCAGGCCAGTTTTTGCTGCCTGCCGCATCCCTTGCTGTCTGCCAGGAGCCCTGGAGGGAAGGGAAGGGAAGAGGGCACCAGCATCTCTCCTTCCCCCTTTGTCCTGTGAATCCCTGGTCTTTCGGAGTTGGGCAGCCAAGAGCCAGTTTGACTAGTTCCTGCCCTGCCCAGCTTGGGCAACTCTGCAGGGCCTCTTCTGGTGTAACCCTGCTGGTCCAGCTCTTGTATTTACCTTTCATTGATAATCAACTCTTAGATAATAAGCAGGTCTTTGTACATTTGAAGGATTGTCTCATGGGAGGTGGCCTGATAGAAAGGAAAGTGCATGGGATTTGAGAATCAGGAAGGGTTAGTTAGGTTCCACCCCTGGCCCGACTGCTCAGTGCCTGTCTCACCTTGGGCAAGTTGCTTCACCTGCTCAACCTTTAGTTTCTTCATCTGTAAAATGGGATTGTTAGAATTAGGTGACAATGTGCAAAGGTGCCTGTCAGCAGGCCTGATATATAATAGACTCTAAAGATAGGTGCATTTCTTCCTTTCTCAAGCTGTGCTTCATCAGGGCGGCCGATCGGTGTTGGGAGTAATGAGCTCTGTCTTCTCTCTGCCCCTTGAGGAAGTCATTTCCCCAAGCTGAGCTGTGGACGGCTCATGTGGTGAATGATGAGGCATCAGCAGAACCTTTTAGTGCTGACATTCTGCGAATTTGTGAATCTATAGTTAGGTCTTCTGGTCGTTTCTATGCTTCTTGTTACTCTCACTAGAAGATGGGAAATTTTCCTATTTCAACAAGATGTAATGTTGCTTCCAGAAGAAAGGCTTACCATGGGAGATACCTCAAAGGGCTTACCTCAGCTCTTTGCTTGCTGATGGAAAAGAAACGACCCTATACCTCCCATTCATGGGGAGTGGGAGCCCCTTTGAGGTCCTTGGTGGCAGAAGAACATTTGAGCAGAAAGCAAGGCGCTGTCTTCATAAAGCCATCATTTAACAGGAGCCTGCCTTGTGCCCTACATTGTTCCAGAGAATGTAGAAGTCCCAGAAGTGTACAAGTTGTTCCTGACTTACAAACATTTTCACGCACAGTTGCTGCCAGCCGTGCGTGCAATTGGAATCCCTTGTCTCTCCCTGGCTCTTCTCTTCCTTGTCCCTACTTACTGCTGGTGCAGCAGCCAGGGCCACTCTGTGGGCTGTGGCTGGGTGCGGCCCTTTCTCTCACCAACTGCTGTGTCTCCAGTGCAGAGCCAGCAGGGTCAGCTGGTGCCTGCAGCTGTGGTCCTCAAACCTGGTGGCACACAGGAATCTCCAGGGACATTTAAAAGTGTACAGGTGCCTGGGCCTTCCCCCAGATCAGTTAAAACCTTGGGGATGAAACCCAAGATTAGTTTGTTTAAAACTCTCCCCCATCCACCTCTGTCTCCGCTCCCCGTGGGTCAGCTGCTCCCACCTCGGAGGCTTCCGGCCCCTCTTCCTAGTCCACTCCTGAACTCCCTCTGCCCACCCTTGACCCCTTTTCAGCTGGGACTCAGTCCTTTCATGATCTCTCCACCCCATTCCTGTCCCACAGGAAACCTGCTCCAGGTCATGGGACCTGCAGAGTCAAGCGACACCCAAGTCACAGACGTGAACAAGTCTCCCCAAGGAGACCCCGTGTGCCGAGGCCGTGCTGTGTGCCTGTCCTCCGTGAGGGTGGGGGGCGTTTGGGGGCTGGTTTTGGAACCTAACCGCCATACCAGTAGTGCTTTCCTTTAAAAATCGAGTAAGACTTTCCTTAGAGCCTCCATGTGCTTGAAATCTAGTAAGAACAGACTTAAATTCACAGAAAAATACACCCCAGCACAGAATCCAGGGCTAGATTTTGCCATGTAGGCTGGTTGTTCTCAAACTTGGGCCTGTTAAGGGATCCCTTGGGAATATTAAAAAAATGTATGTGTTCTGCCCACATTCCACTTGATCTGAATTCCGTGTTTTTCGGGTGAGGCTTGAGCCTGGGCCTTTTCAAACAAGCTGCCCAGGAGAGTGTGAGGTGCAGCAAAGTTGGAGGAGGGTTGGTGTGCGTGAAACCGGTGAGAGCAGGGGTCAGGTCAGGCTGCAGCCAGTGGAGGTGGGGTCTCATCCCTTCCCCGGAGGAGACAGGCGGTGGCCAGGAGAGGCAGCTTGCTAGTCTGCGACGCCCTGCCCCTCCCCAGGTGCTGTTTCCTGGTGTCCCCACCCTGACGTCTGGCTGCCGCGGCCGCACCACTCAGGCGTGCTGGCACGCTCTTCCTGGAGCAAGACGTGCTTGGGGCTGCCACCTGGCAGCGAGCTGTCACCATTAATCTCCCAGGTCCAGTAACCAGAGTAGACACAGAGCTGTCACTCCAGATCAGGCCTCCGTGATTCTGGGGCTGTTTTCTCCTGTCATTTGTTTCCCTCTGGGTGGTGAGGATGGTGGGGGGAAACTGCTTTTTCAGACGTTCGTCACATTTTCCTGGCTTCTCATGCTGGAGAGGAGGTACACGTGAGCTTAGGAGTGGGCCGTGGGTGGGCTGTGGGTGAAGCGGTGAGGACACCCCGCCCCCGGGGTAACTGGGCCTGGAGAAATGCTGTCTCCTTCTCTCTGAAGCAAGGCTCCGAGGGTGGAGCGGCCGTGGAGGGTGGAGGGGATGAAGTAGTTGAAATCTGATCGGCTCCTATCTGTCATTATGTTTGGGTTAGTGTCCCAGTGGTTCCCCAAATCCCACTTCATCACTCATCATTCGGGATAGGGCCCTGGAGGCCTTTGGGTTGTGGTTTGGGGTCAGGAGAGTGAGTTGTGCAAGACCAGCCCTGAGACTTGGCATCTGCATCTTGTAATTAGCGTGCGGGTCGGAGATAGGAGCCACCTCGGCTCGGCGCTCTGTGTGTGTGTTCACGTCACTCTCCCAACACATGCTGAAACGGGGCTTATTACCGCCCACAGTCCTACAGCAGTAATGTCCTAAAGCTAGAATTCCAACAGCTCGTGCTTCTTAAAATGACACTGTGTTGCTTGCAAGGCATCAGGGCAGAAGTCAGGAGACCTGAGCTGTATGTGTAGTTCAGGCTCTGCCACCAATTATTACCTTGGACAAATCCCTTCACTCACCGGTCAGTTTCTGCAAGAGCGAGATGGGGGCCTGGGGGGTGGATCAGGTGCTCCGGGTCCAGCAGAGGCCTGTGGCTCTCTCTGCGTGTTTCTGGAGGCCATGCACACCTGGGCCTGCTCTTGGCCGTCTCACTCCATGAGGAGCTGGGCATTTGCCCAGAGAGATTGACACCCTCCTCTCCTCTGGGGCAGTCAGCTGCTCATGGGCCTCCTCGGGTGTGGTGGCTCCTTTTTGGACCCTGATTTAGGGGCTACACCCAATAGAGGGTTCTTAAAAAAACAAAACAAAACAAAATGCAGTCACTGTATCACTGAAAAAAAATGTGTAAATCAAATCATCCATAGCTGAAATGCTGATCGGGCCACTTAAAGGCAGATTTTTAGACTTACGGCCTCATTTGCAAAAGGGAGGAGATATTCTTTCTAGATCTCTTACTGTAAGATTCTAAGGCTCTGAGAAGCCTTTTAGTATGGTATTATTTCTGTCCATTTTCTTGCGAATGGGACATTTCACACATTCCATTTGCTTCAAGGAGTATGTATTAATGTAGACAGTTGGGCCTGGAAGGAGTCTTCCCTCTTATCTAAGATTATTTCTTAAGGGCAGTCTCCCCAGAATGACAGGCCATTTCACTGTTAACCCTTTAGGAAATTTATTAAATTCCCATTATCTAAGATCCACCTCTGTTGCTTTGCCATGACCTGGGTAATGGTGCTTCTTGGTTATTCTTTAAGGTTTATGGAAACCTTAAAAAGAGAGACCAGCAGGAGTAACGGACAGGCTCTCAGGTTCACGGGGAGTGAGTTTTCCAGGTTACAGATTAGAAACTCCACGAGTGTGACTTACTGGCCGTTTCTTTGGTCCTCTCCCATCCCTGTGTCATGGCTTCGTTTCTGACAGCGGAGAACTTAGAAAGCCAGAGTGATTGTGCCAAGGTAGATATTGCCACACAGGGTACCTGTGAGTTTCTTCCTATTTTAATGAAACTTGTACTTTGTGTTTTATAGTGTACGGACATCATAACAGTCCTGTGAAACAGACTGAACAGCTATATTTTTTATTTCCGTACTGTGTGAATCTGTACCCTATTTGTTACGAAAAGAAGTTGAAGTGGCATAAAATAGGACCAAGCCAACAAGGAGATCAGACTAGTCAGGACGGAAAAACATAGTAGCTGACACTTGTTCAGTGTCATCTGTGTGCCAGGTGCTCTTAAATGGACTCACTCGTTCTTACAGCGGCCTAATGAGGTAGGTACAAGTTACCAGAATGGAAAACTGAAGATGAATGGCTATGGAACTTACAGCCAGATGGTGGAGCCCACACTTTTACCCACTGTACCAGAATGCCTCTCTCTAACCCATAAGGCCATCAGTGACACTCATGCACACGTGTAGTGGCAAGAATCACCACTGTTTTACAAGGGAGGAGTGAGCTAAAGAATGGGTAAGTGACTTGCTCAGGGCTGCAGAGCCAGTAAGTGGCATAAGCAGAAGTAGAAGCCTGGTCTCCTGTCCCTCAGTGCTGTTTCCATGGCCTCACATAGCATCCTTCTTAAAATGAAAAACATTTTTTTTTTCCAGAACCTGGCAATTGGGGCAGGAGCCGTTGGATCTTTGCAGCTGACCTACATCTCGAAGGTAATGTTGGTCTGGCGCGCTGGGAATTCATATTCTGTAAGTAGGTTTAGTATCTAAACAAGAGGAAGTGTCAAATCCTCTGGGTGTTGGCATTTGGGGGTGTTGCTTGGGCAGCTCCCCCTTCCTCACCACTGCCTATGGAGGCTCAGCTGCTGGCCAGGAGTGGGTGGAGCTCTTGTCAGCAAGTTCTTGGGGGTGGGAGCGCCGCAGCCTCCTTCTCCAGGGACACATCAGCCAGTGATGCTCTCAGCTCCAGCAAGGGAGGTATTGGTGGTGGGGGTAGGTGTGAGACGTGACCTTTTCTGGTACTTGGGACAAGGAAGAACACCAAACAACAACCCCTAGTGACTGTAAAGGGTTCTCCCAAAGGGTATGATTAAACAGGAGCATCTCAGAAAGAGCTGGGGCTGCACTGGAATCGTATCAATTACTTGGACAGGGTAACTGTGGAGGGAAGGCTAAGAACGCCTTGAGAAGGTGCTCAGATGTACCAGGAAGCCATTCAGCAGCCAGGTAACTGCTGTAGAGTCTGGCAGGCAGGCTGACAGCCACCCCCTGGCCTAGTTTGTGCATACAGCGTGAGAGTGCCCCTCTTTGGTGCTGAGACCTGGGGTTGGGAGGGGGGAGGGGGGATGGGGCTGGTGGATGGCACCCACATGTAGCTGCTGAATTCAGCTTCTTTTAGTGGCCCCTCCCTGGAGCAGGCCCCAGGGCTGACCCGTGAGGCAGCAGTGATAAAAAAGGTCAGAGGATTTAGAGCCTCACCAGAAAGAGGAACTCTTTGTCCAGCGAGGAGAGCCAGGTGGCGCCCAGCCAGCACTGAGGTTCTGGAAGTCCTGCTCTGCCCACTTACCCCTCACTTCAGGCCTCTTGGGGACCTCTGCTTCCTTGATCAGGTTCTCTCGCCCTCAGTGGGTTGAGACAGGGTGGAGGGGACCATAATTGGAACAGCTCCCGATTCTTTTTCATAACAAGCTTTGGGAGTCTTGGGTTCAGCCCTCCATCTCTGCCAGTCAGGGGGTGAGTGGCAGCTGCAGGAGAGTCTGGCAGCCTCTGAGCTGCTAGAAGAGGAGATAATGACCTGGAGGCAGAGGGAGGGCCTTTGAAAGCTCAGATTTGAGATTTGTGCATGCCTTGTGGTGAGAAACGTGGCTGCCTCCCCTGTCCTGTCCAGACTTGCTGTGAGCTCATTAGGTCATTTCTCTAGGAGATTCAGAGAAAGAGGATTCAGAGAGAACCTCAGTATTAATGAAACCCCCAAATCTGCCTGATTAAGAGGGTTAGGGAAGGGTTTTTTTTTTTTTTTGGATGGGGAAGAGTGGCTATAGTCTTTTGCTGAATTGTGATTTATAAATGCAGCTCAGATGAGGGTTTTTAGAATTCTCAGCTTTGGAGATGGCCTCATTTAGAAAGGATGGACCTGCCTTTTAGCCCGTCACTAGGGAGAGGCAGGCCTGGATTGGCCTTTTGCAGAACCCACAGCTGCCAAGAGTCAGGTTACACAGGGCTGAGGGCCTTTAACTCCTGCCAGAATGCAGGGATTTCCCCAGGAAAACGTTAAGCAGTGGTACCATCATCACATTCCAGGGTGTTCCATGCTAACCCCTAGTATTCCCTCCCGCAGTGTCAGCCTGCCTTCTGGTGTAGGGGTGGTCTCTCTTCAGGGTGCTGTGCTGTTCTGTGTCTCTTCCGTGAGGGCTCGTGTTGGGAAAATGGGTCCCTCAGAGGGGCCAACAGAGGTGAAAGTTCTTGACTTGACGTCATCCCAGGCATCAGTGGCAGCAGAACCAGTTCTTGGGCGAACTAGGGAATAATTGGTGCTGGCCTTCGGTGCCGTCTCCTCACTTTGCCCAGTGGCCTTCAGCACTGCCCCAGACGCACCTTGTGTCCTGTTTTGTCAGGGCCTTGCCTTCAGTGACTGTAAGGAATCCCTTCGTAGAGGGAGCAGTGGTTCCTGTCCACAAAAACTCCCGAAAAGGGTATTAGAAAATGGAGAGACTTTGTTCAGGTGAATGGTGTGCAACCTGGGGAGATGTAGCCTTTGGCACTCTGAGAGTGTGCCATCTTATGGAGAAAGTCACCCCCCAGGTTTCCCAGTTAGGTCCATTTTGTATAAATGAGGTATCCAAATTTGTATGGTTCTTTTTTTTTAAAGTATGTTTTATTGATTTTGCTACTACAGTTGTCCCAATTTTCCCCCCTCTGCCCAGTACCCCTCTTCCCTCCAGCAATCCTCCCCCCGTACTTCATGTCCATGGGTCGTGCATGTAAGTTCTTTGGCTTCTCCATTTCCTATACTGTTCTTAACATCCCCCTGTCTGTTCTGTACCTACCAATTTATGCTTAATCCCTGTACCTTTTCCCCCATTCTCCCCACCCCCCTGCTGATAACCCTACAAATGATCTCTATATCTATGATTTTGTTCCTGTTCTAGTTTGCTTAGCTTTTCTTTTTTTAATTTTTTTTAAGATTTTTTATTTATTTATTCTTAGACAGTGGGGAAGGAGGAGAGAGGGGGAGAGAAACATCAGTGTGTGGTTGCCTCTCACATGCCCCCCCACTGGGGACCTGGCCTGCAACCCAGGCATGTGCCCTGACTTTTAATTGAACCAGCAACCCTTTGCTTCACAGGCCAGAGTTCAATCCACTGAGCCACACCAGCCAGGGCCTAGTTTGCTTAGCTTTTCTTTGTTTTTGTATTCAGTTGTTGATGGTTGTGTTTGTTGTCATTTTAATGTTCATAGTTTTGATCATCTTTTTCTTAAATAATTCCCTTTAACATTTCATATAATGAGGGCTTGGTGATGATGAATTCCTTTAGCTTTACCTTGTCTGGGAAGCACTGTACCTGCCCTTCCATTCTAAATGATAGCTTTGCTGGACAAAGCAATCTTGGTTGTAGGGACTTGCTTTTCATTGCTTTGAATACTTCTTGCCAGTCCCTTCTTGCCTGCAAAGTTTCTTTTGAGAAATCAGCTGACAGTCTTATGGGAACTCCTTTGTAGGTAAAACTCTGCTTTTCTCTTCCTGCTTTTAAGATTCTCTTTATCTTTAAGCTTTGTCATTTTAATTATGATGTGTCTTGGTGTGGTCCTCTTTGGGTCCAACTTGTTTGGGACTCTCTGTGCTTCCTGGACTTGTATGTATTTCCTTTGCCAAATTAAGGAAGTTTTCTTTTTATTTTTCAAATAAGTTTTCAATTTCTTGCTCTTTCTCTTCTCCTTCTGGTACCCCTGTGATTTGGATGTGGGCACTTTTGAAGATGTCCCAGAGTCTTCGTGTTCTCTCCTCATTTTTTTGAATTCTTATTTCTTCATTTTGTTCTGGTTGACTGTTTATTTCTTCCTTATGTTCCAAGTCATTGATTTGACTCTTTTTCTTCACTGTTGGTTCCCTGTGGATTTTTCTTTATTTCACTTAGTGTAGCCTTCATTTCTTCCCTTATGCTTTTACCATACTCAGTGAGTTCTCTGAGCATCCTTATCACCAGTGTTTGAACTTTGCATCTGATGGGTTGGCTATGTCTTTGTTGCTTAGTTCTTTTTCTGGGGTTTTATTCTGTTCTTTCATTTGGGCCATATTTCTTTGTCTCCTCAATTTGGCAGGCTCCCTGTGTTTGTTTCTGTGTATTAGGCAGAGTGCTTTGACTCCATGTCTTGGCACACCTTTTGTGTTGTATGAAGTGGAGCCGTAGGTAATCACCAGGGTGGGCTAACCCGCTTCACTGCTTTGTGGCTCTGTATGTGGGGGAGGAGTTGGAGAGGGAACAATGCCTCTGCCTGGCTGCTGGAGGAGTTGAAAAGGGGACAGTGCCACTGCCTGGCTTCTGGGGGCTTGCTAGGTACTTGCCCCATTTCCAGTCACTTCACCCACTTTCTGTATGCGACTAGCGCCCCTCTAGGTGTTGCCCTGGTGGTGGTTCCCAGAGTGGGTGGGTTCATATACGGTCTCAGTCAGTGTGGGCCCTTTAAATGGACTCTCCTTAGAGATTGGGAGTTGCTTCCACTGCCCTAACCCCCACTATTTCACAGACAGAAGTTACGAAGCTTTATTTTCCCTTCACTGGAACCCTGGGCTGTGCAGTCTGACCTGGGGCTGGGATGGGTTGCTCCCTAGGTGTCACTCCCAGATTTTATCCACCACAGGTAAATGCGGGACCGTTTGTTCTGCTGGTCGCTGTCGCCATGGCTACCTTGTCTGCCCCAGCCCTCTCTCTCTTCTCCCTTAACTGTCTGGATGAATATATCTTCTTTAAATCCTTGGTTGTTAGATTTTCATACAGCTCAATTTTTTGGCAGTTCTGGGTGTTTTTTGTTTTGAGGTTAGTTGTGATCTTATGGTTGTGCAAGAAGGCAAAGCATGTGTACCTACGCCTCCATCTTGATTGGACTGTATGTATGGTTCTAATTGATACAAATCGTGTAGTCCCAATTCCTCAGCATTGTGTATCCTGATTGGTTGTTACAGAACAATTCTGGATGGTTGGTCTGGCAAATGAGGATATAATTGTGTAGTTCTGATTGGATGAGGAAAGTCTCAGTCCATTGGTCCAAAGACAAAACCAGGAACTCTCTTACAGTAGTTGACTCAGACGCATAAAATGACCAGGGCACAGTGCAGGGAGCCAGGGACTCCGTCTGGGTTCCTCCTGTCAGTAGATGGTTGCTAGACTCTTATTATTTATAAAATTTGGGCTCTTTGTTGACCATTGGGGAGCTTATCTCAGCAGATAAATTTCTTCTTGGAGTTCACATCAAATTAATCTTTTTTCACAGGGTCCACATTCCTTACTTTTGGGGTGGGTCATGGATCCTTTGGAGAGTCTGATGAAAAGTGTGGACTCGTTTTCCAGGCAAAGTATGTGTGTGTGTGCACACCAGGATTTTGTCTATGATTTCAGGGCTCATTGAAGCCCTGACTGGTTCAGAGACCTCAACCCAGAGCCCCTGCAGTCATCCTGTGTAGGTGGCTGCTGCTTCTCTTCCTCTGCTCTTGCCGCCACCACATAGGGCAGTGTTTCCCAGGGCCCCGGGGCAGAGCAGCACCAGGGCCCCTAGACCTCACTCTGCTGCTGCTGCTGTGCCAGAGGGGCCCCAGCTCTACTTCCGGCCAGGGACAGGCAGGGTGGGGCTGGCTAGCAGAGCCGTGCCACCGATGAGCTGGCTGCTCCTGTGGTCTGCATTTGATCTGATAAGAACAAGTTCCCGAGAGTCTGTGTCACTGTGGGGCAGCCTCATCTGCGTCACTTTCTGGGTGACCTGTGCTCATTTCCCCCTCACATCCCAACCTCCTCTCCCTGCTTGCATAACCCAGGATCTACCAGTCAACCACGATTGTGCAGGCACGCAGTTGAGGCCACCTTGTGGCGTGCAGATGGTTGCACTTGACTGCCTTTACCTAGTCCGTCTGTTAGCCACACGTGTTAGGGTTGTTGGCTCTTTCACCGTGTCTGAGGGCGGCTGCACAGCCTGGCTTGATCACCAAGATGTGGTGGGGGTGTGGGGAGAGGCAGTGTACTTCCCAGGGGCCAAGGATTCTGCTTCCACAGTCACCAGAATGTCAGGAGAGGACCAGGGCTAACTGTTCACAGTGAGAACCCCACCTTGGCCCCGCTCTCTGAGGGGCACAGCGCAGGTAGATATAGTTTCATTTTCTTCTTTTTGCCCTTCTTTGACCATGAGAATTTTACTCTGGCTTTGCTAATCAGGAAGATGATCAGAGCCATTGAGGGTCTTAACACTGGCTTAACAGCTCATCAGGGCAGAGCTAGCACCGATATGTAGTTAATTCAGCAAGGAACTGCTTTGCCAAATAATCCTTCTGTGGTAAGCCATGAGGCAAATTGTGGATGTGCGTGCATATAATCACACATCCTCCTGACTGAAAACTGGAGAACAAATGAAAACCAGGCGATCCCTTTGAAAGGGTCAGTTCCCACAGCGAGCACGTGGGTAGCATTCTTGCAGTACCGGTTGGTGATAAGTTGTGGTCAAAGCAGGCCATTTGTCATTCAAGCAGGGCAAAAAGTGTCGCACAATGATGGTCTTTCTGGTCTATGATAAATTTCAGTTCCTGGGAGCAAGAGTCTCCTAACAAGCTGGAGAGGGTCTTGAAGTGCCCAGCTTTTCATTGCCCTTCCAAAGCTGAAGGTAGAAGGGATGCCACAAGACAGGTGGGTTCCTAGGGTTGGGATGCCCAAGGCCATTCTCTGATGGTCAGGGTTATATAGGCGCCAAGGGCAGGACACGCGGGCGTTCATGCGCACGAGGACCCACAGGCACACAGGTGCTGCAAGAAAATGAGTCACTGATGGAGCAGAACATCAGACACAAACAGGATAAAGGCACACGCTGTGGTTCCGAGTGAATTCTGGGGTCTAACGCTCAGGAAGACGAGGTAGCCCAGGGGCCGGGACGGTGGTGCCATGGAGCTCCAGTGCGCGGGCCCTGGGAGTGGCGAAGACATGCCTGAATTTGAGTAGTGGGTGTCTGAACTCAGGATGTGTGGCTTCACCTTTGCTTGACTCTTCATGTATTTCGGGACTGTTTGAAGACTGTCTTAGGCCCTTTGGCCTCCCCCTCTCATCATGGTAGACATATCAAAACGTACCTACACTTCTCATTAAATGTAATTCTTTGCCTGTAAAATATTTGAAAGGGTTTTAATTGTTTTATTTTTGGAATGATTTGGCTATGAGTAACTCATTTAATTTTTGATTGGCTCTAATTTCTTGGCAGTCATCTTGCACACCCAAGTATTTCATGAACTAAGAAAATCAAAGCTACGAAGTTTTTTGAATGTAATGAAATTTTTATGAATGTGTAAGTAGAACATTAATGAAGTTGACTTAATGTGGCATGTTGTATGCAGTTTATTAAATACTTGTCCTTGAGGTTGAGATGGTGTTATACACACATTTAATCAAATATCTATGTTGAGTATGCCATATTCCTTTTGTATGTTGGAGGCCAGGCATTTTTTTCTGGTTTTGCACTTTTTTTAGGCCCTGAAAAGCTCACAAGGCTCTCAGCATTTTGCTCGTAGTGCCACGCGTGGCACTGTGTGTGCTAAATAGTGTGGAATGAGGTTTTAAAGGGCATGACGTATCAAAAGCAATAGTCTCTCCTTTGCTGAGCATCTTCTATAGGACAGGATAGGTAGGTGCCTCACCTGCAGTGTCACGTGTAGTCCTCACAATAGCCCCATGAGAACATGATATCATTATACCTATTTGACGGAACAGGAAATGGGGGTCACACAGCTGGGAGACCTCAGATTTGAGCCCTGGTCCTCTGGCACCAGAGCTCAGGCTGTACTGCCTGTCCTTCCTTTGGTCGGCTGCTACCTCAGTTCCTGTGTTGAGTATTCAGGGCAGGCTTGGTTTTGGTCGAGAAGGAATCTGGGCAGGTCTGTTGAAATAACTTGGGGCCAAGAGTGGGGATCCAGACAGACTGGTGGGCGAGTCACGATCAGACCCTTGGTAACTGTGAGCCAAGAGGAGACCTTAATTTTGACTGAAGATTTTTCCTTAGCTTCTGGCTTCATGTCTTCTGTTAAAGCAAGAACCACTCCTGGGGCCCCTCTGCGAGAACAAGAAAGAGAATGTCCTTGGCTGGAAAGGGGCTGGAGGAATGGTGAAGGAGGATTATGACAATGTCGGAATAGCTCCTGGGGGAAGGTGGCTGGCCCCTTAGGAAACCCAGGTCCCGTGGTGGAGGTCTGCTCCAGGGAGGTCCAGCCTCCATCAAGGGTAGCCACCTAATCTCTGTGGGCATTTGATGGAATATGAGTTGCTTTCCTTCATTCATTCATTGTATTTGAACCTCAGAGAGGTGGGCTTGCAAGCATGTGCTCAGGAATGTATGTGCCGGGGGTAGGATTGAAAAAGCAAGATGCAATCAAGCAACAGAAAATATAGAAATATTTCTACTTTCTTATGCCCCTTCCTTCAGTATGTAGTTACGCCCTGTGATTCCATTGGCTCCTCTTGGAGCGTGTGAAAAGTATGTGTTTTCATGGTTAAGCAGTCAGGGTAGATGTGTAGGAAATCTGTCAGTGTGTCCAAATGCAGTGACTGCCATGCTGCTTCATCTTTCCGGGAGCTGCAGTTGAAATCTGTGTATTTGTAGCAGTACCGCCTTCCATGTGGAGAACAGTTTAGGGAGGGGGCTTGGTGGTTGACAGAGGAGTAGAATCTGGCTGGTGTGAGTGGGGCCAGTACAGGTGTTGTGGTCCAGAGAGCATTTTGTCAAGACTCAGTGGCTTTTGAAAGTGTTTTTGCAAAGATAAAGACTGACACAGACATCAAGATAGAAGTTATCTCTGCGGGGTGGGGGTGGGCCCCTGTCAGGGAGGGGCACAGAGGGGACTTCTGAGAAACATGGCTGATAATGTCCTATTTCATCACCTGGATGGTGAGTACAGGGTTTCCTCTTAGTTGTTATTAGTTTTAAAGTGTTCATGTATTTGTATACGCTTCTTTTTGTGAGAAATATTGCACATACAAAAATAGGAAAAATGCTTTTTAACAGTGTTAGAAACATGGTTATGCTTCTTTTTATTTATTTATTTATTTTTTATTTGATTTAGGTGAGCATAGCTACCCCAAAGCAGAAGCCAAAGACTCCGTTTTGCTTTGGTAAGTACTGAGCTAGAGGATGGGTTTTCTGAACACTCCTACAGCAACTTCCTCTTTGGCCTGGAGATGGTCTGCTGATCACACGTGACTTCAGCCCTGTGTGTATGAGTGACTCCAGTCACGGCCGTGTTCCTGGCTCTCAAGTGGTACTACTTTCCTTGGTCTTACCACAAAGGCTATTAATAACCCAAGACAGAGGTCCAATGGTGTTGCAAGTCTTCCTGACTCCGGTGGGTAGGGCACAAAGTATCTACTAGAAGTTTCTAGGAACCCTGAATTCAGGGCTCATTAGTGGCATGCTCAGGTAAGGCGGAGACTTGGGAAAGTTGGGGGAATAATAGAAAAGAAGGGATATTCTGTTTAGCATCTCAGTATTGCCAAAGGAGTGGCAGTGTAGAGGGTGACCCAGGAAGCAGAGCCACTCTGTGGATGCCTCAAGCCATTGACTCATCAGTGTATATTTAGCTTCCACTGTGTTGTCAGTACTGTATTAAGCGCTACAAGCAAATGATAATAGTTTCTGTTTTATATCTAGGGTGATTCTGAATGTAAGCTCATGAAGGCAAGGGTGTACCTGTATCCTTAGCATGTAGCGTGGTTCTGGCACATAATAGGTGCTCAATAAATGCTTGTTCACTGAATGAATGAGGTGATGAACTCCATGTCCCATGATTCTCACCTCTTAAATAGTTCAGGCTTTTTTATGCTAGGAGAATCAAATGGACCCTTAAGTCATCCTCTCTCCCAGCTGCAGGTTGGGTCAAGCTTCTTTGGTGCTCTTGTTCTTCCCTCATTTTTTAATTTTTTTAGATTTTATTTTATCTTTAGAGCAAAGGGAAGGGAGGGAGAAAGAGAGGGAGGAAAACATTGATATGCAAGAGATACACTGATTGGTTGTCTCTTGTATACCCCCAACTGGCTGGGGACCTGGCCCACATCCCAGGCACGTGCCCTGACAGGGAATCGAGCTGGTGACCTTTTGGTTTGCAGGCTGGCACTCAGTCCACTGAGCCACACCAGCCAGGGCTCCATTATTTTTTTAAATGTCACCGCTGAGCTCAAAAATGATGCTGCCAGGTTTTGTGGTCAGCAGATCTATTTTAAAAAAAGTTATGAACCCAGAAGTAAATTATTGACCTATTGGAGTGCTCAGGGGAAAGACCAGGTTGAAGATGAGGTCAAGGTCACAGATTTGATCATTTGATTCATAAAAGCTTTGTTCCATTTTCTAACCACAGACAATACTCCTAACCAAGACCAGTTGTGCCAGTGGAAACAAGGAACTCTGGGGCCAAAAATTATTCATAATGATACATGTATCATTATGAGTGTAAATTTGTCAGCACCTCTGAAAAGCAGTTCAAGTGCCTGTCTTCTTGGTGGCAGACTAGCGGCCTCATTACTCACTGCACAACAGCGCGTTAAGGTTGTTGTTAACGTCAGGTGTCATCTTGTGGCCAGTAGAATAAACCACATTTTTAAAGAGAGAGCATTGTATCCTGCTGCTTACCCAATATTCATGCAGGTGACTTTGCACGGCGGGAAGAGTCTTCCTCTGCTTTGTGGGGGTCCCGCACCGTGCTACTTCGAGCACTTTAGTTCTGTGAAGTCTCTGTGCTGCATGTGTTCTGACCTGGGTTTTTCTCCCTCCTTCTCCATGACGGCTGCAGTCATCAATGCCCTCTCTCAGCGGTATTTTCTTCAAGCCAATGACCAGAAAGATCTGAAGGACTGGGTTGAAGCCTTGAATCAAGCCAGCAAAATCACTGTACGTATGATTTCTTCTGGGGGGGCCCGCGCCTCTTCCCGGCTCGTGGCCTGTTGGGGTGGGGAAGGATTCCCAGTGGTGGCAGGGGCTTTTCCAGAAGCTTGTTCCAGATCCAGTTCCTCTGCCTCTTCTTACACCATGGCAGACTACAAGGTGAACAGAGAGTTTGAATCAAGTTCAATGGGAAGTTTGTGGAGCGCCTGCTTTGTGCTTCCTGGGAGAGCTCCTGGTCAGTTGTGTTTTGGGCAATGCTGAATCAGAAGGCGGTAGGATTGGAAAATGCATTGCTGACAGTGGGAAGTAAAGGAAAAGCACGTGAGGAGGGAAGTCAGAACTTTGTCCTGGCTTGAGGGACAAAGTGGCCTGGGGGGTCAGTCCGGGCCGTCCACCAACCTGTCCTGCAAAGATGTTTTATTTAAAAGCGTCACTGATCCCTGGCCAGTGTGGCTTAGTTGGTTGGACATTGTCCTGCATACGGGAAGGTCGCCAGTTTGACTTCCTGGTCAGGGCACATGCCTGGGTCATGGGTTTAAGTCTCCAGCTGGGGTGTGTATGGGGCAACCAGTCAATGTTTCTCTTTTACATTGATGTTTCTCTCCCTCTCTTTAAATAAAACACAAATGTTTTATTTGAAAGCATCATGGAACTAGTTCACTGACTGTTCATGAGGACTCTCATTCTTCTTGACTTAATTGATGAAGCACATCTTTTTTCTTTCTTAGAAATACAGAGAAAAGAAAGGGAGAAACACTCTAGTGTTTTGGGAAACACTAGACCTTTAACTGATAATCTAGACAGACTTGTGGCATCATAAACATGGTTTGTATGCTGAGAAGTTTGATTTTCTGTATCATACAGTCAGAAATTTTTGCATTCTAGTGACTCCCAATAATAACCATTATGTGCTGAGACAGATCATTCTCCAGATGCGTCAGGATTTCTATGAAAAAAGTAATAGAAGAAATTTATACCTATCCAGCACCAGTGATGCTGGACCCACGCAGGGTACAATCCAGTCACCGAAGTAGTTTTGCTCGTTAGCTTGTTTTTCTGACAAACTTTGCCAAACCCGTGAGGAGAGAGCAAAAAGCAGGAGGTTGCTGCTAACCCACGTGCCTGCTCACCCATAGGCTGGTGGACTTGGCACTGGAGTGCTGACTTTAGTACAGGCTTTCTCTACTCATATTGAGGACTTCACGCTTTTCGGCTCTCACAATTTGGGCGGTTTCTTTCAGTGTCTCACACTTTATCCTCATTCAGCATTTCCTCCTGGATTTCCTCCTTTCTTCCTGCCCGACGAACTGGGCTACACAGCGTGTGAAGCAGCGGAGAACCTCTTCCCTTTCTTTCATGCCTGGAGCCTAGAGTTGCTGTAATCAGCTCGTTCTGCTCGTTTCTGGCCCCGTGGAGGGGAAATTACAGGCCACGGGAGCGGGAGGAACGTGCAGGTGTCCAGAGGCTGGAAGTCTAAAGGCGTGGTGGGATGTCACAGCCTTCTTCAGGGTCTCCACAACGTCCAGGACCCCCCTCACTCTTTTCGTTCCATTAATACATTGCTTCAGACCTCTTGCCAAAGATCTTACAGAATAAAAGGAGGAGGAGGGGCACTCTCCATCCTCCTAATCTTTTTGTGTCCTTGAAGGGCTTACTCCTTTCTTTACTTCTGCATCATCTTACATTGTCTGTCCTTCCTTAGGGAGGGGGGACAAGGAGTAGATGTGGGGCTGGGGCCCCAGCTGGATAACATCCATATTAATTTTAAGGCACCTCACGTGCAGAGGGAAGCATCAGGTACTTAGCGGGGTATAGAGATGAAAGAGGGGGCAGATAGCATATTCAGCTAAACCCTCACACGTGCCATCCGCTTACCCCACACATCACTGTGCGAGACAGGTGGTTTTATTGTCATTTTTTCGAGGAGGAGAAGGGAAGTCCAAGTTTTGCCCAAAGCCTAGAGGTTCGTAAGTGGTAAAGCTGGGATTCAAACCCCAGGGCCCTCAGGCTCCCAAAACCTAGGAGTTTATACAAATACTAAAAACGAGGGCAACAACCAGTTTTACATACATGCTTTCCTTTTTGCCTTGTAAAAACCTTAAGTAGAAAGGGCAAGTGCAAGTATCCCCGTTTATGAACCAGGAGATGCAAATGCCAGGAGACCAGAGTGGCCTGCCCACGGCTGTGGAGCCAGGACGGGTCCAGTGTTCCTGCCCACAGGTCTTTGCTCAGGTTGTGCTGAGGTCATGGAGTCCTTATGCCTGGAGAAAACCATCAACATGTGGTATTTAAAGAATCAGGCTCTCGCAGAATGTCAGTATTTCTGTATTTTTTTTCCGGGGCTACCATTGCAAACTGGGTAGCTTAAAACAGCAGACATTGGTTCTCTCACAGTTCTGGAGGCTGGAAGTCTGGAAACAGGGCGTCGGCAGCGCCGTGTTCCCTCTGGAGGCTCTAGGGGAGCGTGCTGGCCTCGCCCGCTGCGGGTGGCTCCCGGCAGCCCTCGGTGTATAGCTGCAGCATTCCGTCTCTGCCTCCATCCTCGGACGGCCTGTGTGCCCGTGTGACCTCTCCTGCTCTCACAGTCGGAGAACTTCGGGCCCACCCTTGACCAGTGTGACCCCATCTCAGTTCAATTCCATGTGCCAAGACCATGTTTCCAAACTAGGTCACATTCTGAGGTTATAGGGTAACACTATTCAGCTCACTACATTTCTCCAAAGGGTTGAAAACGGAGCTGTGTGGGTGGAGCACAGCCCCCCACCCCCATGCCCCATGTTGGATTCTCCATTGCAGGAGTCTGGCTGGGCCCGGTGCAGAGAAAGTCCTTGCAAGTTGCATTTCACATTGCAAATGAGACCCACGTGGGTCTCCAGCATAGGAGAACACGCCACAGGTGGATGGAAGAGGGCCCACCTTTGATTAGGCCTCTGGGATAATAAGGACAAACCAAGGGGATGACCTGGTTTTCAACCTTGGAGCATAGATTTTGTTGAGTTGGTCCTTCACAGGCTGATTCAAACTCTTCGGCAGCGCAGCAGTTTTGGAAAGGCTCTGGGAGGCTGGTCAGAAGCAGCCCACGCTGCAGGGCTGTGAGCGGTGACCAGCGGCCGCTCTCTGGGTGGAGGACAAGATTCTGAGAGGAGGTGACATGACGGCCCAGCTTCTGGGAGGTTCTGTTCTGGCCACTGTGGACTCAGAGCTGTGTCTCTGCTTCTTTGCTAGCTTTCAGGAATCCACTTGGGTCATTTGAGGAGAATTTCTGCTGTTCCATGGTGATGATATCGCTGAACACCCCAGCAATAGTCAGCATTCCTGAAGAATTTTATCTCATAATAGCAAAACGCAGAGAAAGTTAGAATGGGTGGTAGGTAGGTAGGCAGGTGTATTTAGCACCGGTGAGTCAGGCAGTCCTCAGGCACATTACTTCATTTTAATGAGGTTTTGTTTACCTCATGTGTAAAATGGAGAAAATAATACCTACATGATAAGATCCCTTGAGATTAGGGATAATGTAGTGAAGAGTTTAGCTCATTGCTTGGCATTGAACGCAGGCCCAAAGCCATGGGAACTGCTGTTCTCTCTCCCCACAGCCAGAAGGAAAAGACAGGGCGGGTGCCTGGCCCAGTCTTGGGACATGGTGGGCAGAGGTCACCCTCGCCTGTGTGCACTGAGTTTGCAGGCCAGAAAGAGGGGTCTCATCTTTCTGGGGCCCCAGCATACTTGTGTGGTCTTGCCCCTTTGAGTGTCCTTGGTCCCCCTGAGCTGTGAGCTCTTGCAGGGTCTACGTCTGTGGGTCCCTCTGACCCCCTGGGCTGTGGGAGAAGTGGAAGAGGACGCTAGGCTTCCTCACGTGGTCCGCAGGGAGTTCTTGTGCACGGGGGGGCTGTGTGATCCTCCGCATGGAGTTCTTGTGCAGGGGGGACTGTGTGATGCTGTGGGTACCACCCCGGCCGGGAGTCGGGGTCTAGTCTCTGTTGAGTTGCTAGTGGAGGCTGTAGCCAAGTGACTTGAGTGTTGCGGGCCTCTCTCTCTCTCTCTCTCTCTCTCTCTCTCTCTCTCTCTCTCTCTCTTTTTTTTTTCACAAAATGAAAGATTTTCGCAGAGTTTGCAGACTCTGTTATAAATGAGTGACATGGACAAGGAGGAAGAAAAACAGCGTGAATGAGGACCAGTGCCACCTGAAGCGTGGCCTCGGTGTGGGGGGGGGGGATGGGAGGGATGGGGGCAAATGGAAGAATGCATTCCCCATCCAAAGAGTGAGCTGCTGCTTGGCTGGACATCTGGGTTTTTATGTGAAACGCCCCAAATGTTAACTGTAGATCGAAACACATACGGCCTAGGACAAGCAGAACACGGTTTGGGCGAAGTCTGCCTTGGGGCCACCAGCGTGCAGCCTGTGGCCCGTGGTCTGCCGCCGACCATGAAGGTTCTGTGACTGTGCGTGTGGTTGGCCATGGAGAGGAGCAGAGACAGCTCCCGCCTCAGAAGGGGCTCGTCTGTCCGTGCTAGCACCCTTTGTGAAATTTTAACTCAAGTTGTTTGTAATGCTTTTGGATTTTTGTCTTCCTAAAGTTTTTAAATGAACACACACTGTCACGAGACGACTACACCGACTCTACGAGATAAAGGTCATTTCACTTTCCATTTTACACGGGAGCGGTGGAGGCCCAGAGACATTCAGCGAATTGCCGGCAGGTCCCGTGGTTAGTTAGTGACAGGCCAGGGCCTGTACCCAGGCCCTCGGGCTCCAAAGCTCACGTTTCCTGATTCTGCGCCGTGTACCACCCGTGTGTCACCTGTCCCCCTGAGCAATAACGCGCTTTCTTCTGTCTTCGCGCTTCTGGCTTCTTTCCACCCTGGAGGTCTGCCTGCCCGTCTGCTCCTCTGGAGACCCGCGCTAACCGCTCCGCCTCAAGCAGTTCCCCTGCTGCTGGCGAGCTCAGCCCGTGTCTGTTAGTCATGGCTCCTGCCGCGATTTGTACCGACTCGGATTGTTTTGCTCTGTAGTTTTGGTTGGTCTCCCCCACGAGCATGTATGTGCCGTGAGGGCGAGACACGGGTCTAAATTCGCTGTTTTATCTTTAGTCTTTCGCCAGGGAAGGGCTGGCTCACAGTAGGCGCTCAGCACATTTGTTAAGTGTATTCACGTGTACCTGTGTGTGTGTGCACACGTGTGGTGGAGTTGTTGGCAGAGTTCTTCATGTTCATAAGCTATGGATCACTTGAACGCCAGGGGGAGGAGAGGGACGTCTTACTGTAATTTGGTGCGTTAGCTTTTCTCATCCCTCCCGCCCTGCTTTTGACTCCCTGCTTTCCCTAAGTTTCTGTTTCCTGTTGACCACAACGCCATCACTCTTCCCAGGTACCCAAACAGGGGAACATGCCCCTGGCGACGGAAGTTCTCAAAAACCTAACAGTTCCCCCGGCCCTCGAGAAGAAGCCACAGGTGGCCTACAAGACAGAGATCATCGGAGGGGTAGTGGTGCACACACCCATCAACCAGGTGCTGGGGCCTGGGGCTGCCAGGGGGTCATGGGGGCGTGTAGTGGCCATGGTGTGGCAGTGACGTGCTGAGGACTGTGCTGCACAGAGGACTGTGCTGAGGGAAGCGGGGGTGGGGGGGTGGAGCCAGGGCAGATGGGGTGGGCAAGAAATGACAGGGCCAGGGTGGAGGCAGGTAATGGCCGCGTGGACATTGGGGCCACTGTGTCATGAAGCCGTGTGGCCGGCATGCTTTGAGATGGGCACATATGAACCCTACGAGGGGTGGGGCTACAGAAGGCACATGAGGTTTCCTTGCTCTCCTGGTTTGCCTTCTCCGTCCTCCCCTGTCTCCCGGGTCTGCCTGAACTCCCTGAGCCTTATTCCACCAAAGCCCCCGGTGCAAAGCCTGATGGGAGCAAAGGAAATGTGTATTTTCTTGTTTCGTTCTTTGACTGTCATTGTGGGCAGAGAGGCAAAGAGGTGACTTGGCCAGAGGGAGCTGGGTGGGGCGAGGGGGAGGCCGCCTGAGGATCGAGGGGGAGGTGCTAACCCTGACACTGTTTCCTTGTAGAATGGTGGGGATGGGCAGGAAGGGAGTGAGCCGGCGTCCCACGCCATCCTTCGAAGGTCTCAGAGTTACATCCCCACGACAGGCTGCCGGGTCCCCACCGGCCCTCCCCTCATTAAGAGTGGCTACTGTGTGAAGCAAGGGAACGTGGTGAGTGTCAGCGCCGGGGCTGGAGCTGGTGGGTGCGGGTGCAGCGGCAGGAGAGCAGTCTGCGAGGAGGGGCTGAGGTCCTCCGTGCCCCTGCCCGAACCCTGAGAGGCCGGGGACCAAACATTTGCCCCCACAAGTCAGAGGCATTGCCCCAGGTAGGAAGGAGAGTCGGTGCCCCCACTGAACGTGGGAGCCCCGCTCCATGGGGCCGTGTCCCTGGCAGCTTAGGACTGGAACAGTCTCCGGAGTGCTGGGACCTCTGCCTAAAGTCCTGCTCTGTGCTTGCTTGATATTTCAGCGGAAGAGCTGGAAACGTCGCTTCTTTGCGCTCGACGACTTTGCGATCTCCTACTTCAAGTGTGAGCAGGTTTGTGTTGCCCTGGGCCCTCCCCGAGGACCTGGAGGGAAGGGGGGCACCAGTAACCCCGGGGAGGGGTGCAGAGGGGTGTGGCACACACACAGACTTCGGAGGGGCCCCTCTCTGTCTTCTCTCCGTCCATCCTGTGTGCTCACCATCCCAGCAATGTCATTGCAGCGGCCCAAACTTCCTCCCTCCTTCCGTGCAGTGAGCTGTTCTGTGGTCAGAGCCACTGAGCATCTTCTTAGATTTTTTTTTTAATCTCTTGATGAATTTGAGGCCTTGCCTCATTTGCAGCCTGGTTTTCAGCCAGCCGTCCTGTGAGGTGGCGAGTCGGGGCCGTGGCATTCCGTGGACAGCCTCGTTTACCTCTTTCCTTCCCTCCCCCCAGGACCGAGAACCGCTGCGCACTATCTTTCTCAAGGATGTTCTCAAGACCCATGAGTGTCTGGTCAAATCTGGGTAATTGTCTCTGTTTATTTTTTTCTGATCAAAACCCCCACTTGTCCCCTGATGTCTTCATTTACCACACTTCTGAGTCTCTGTTCGGGTCTTCTTCCCAGCACAGGGGCCCGGGCCTGAGGTCTTGTGGCTGCGTCACCACATCCTAGCTGGTGTGGATGTGAGGTTACCCCGGGCTGACTTACCCTCCGCCCGTCACTTGGCTCTCGCCCCCGAGAGGAGGAGCCTGGGTAATGCTTCTCTTATGGAGAAGAAGAAAGAGTGCAGGAGCGGCGTGGCGCTGCGATGTGTCGCCGTGGCAGCATTGGGTGCTCGCTGCACAGGAGGCCTGGGGCTCGGGGCGGGGCGCATGCCCTTAGTCACCCACTTTTCAGCACCTCTGGTCGGATCACTGCTTGGGCCCATGCCTCCTCCCCTCACGCCTTTTCTGCCCCTCTTGACAAGTCCCTGGTATCCCCCTCGCGCAGGGCGATTCACAGCAACCGTGTCACTCCCACTGGGCAGAAGGAGGAGGTAGTCTCAATGTGCTCCTCTTTCCACTGGGAAATGGCTACCTTCCAAGTATCACGGGGTGTAGGTGATTGGGGGCCCGTAGGTAAGGGCTCTCCCATGTCCACACCAAACACAGATGTGCTAGAACTAAGCTTTAGAAACCTCAGGGCACCTGGACATCTCTGGACATCTAGAAACCCGCCCTTCGGCCCTGAGGCTGCAGGCCTGAGGGACTGTGCGATGGTCTCTCGTCGCATGGGCTGGGCCTGCAGGGTTAGGGTCAGGGTTAGGGTCAGCCAGCATCCTCCGGGGAGTGACTAGCAGCAGGCAGACTGGGCTGCAGCCATGGCAGGCCCTCGCGTGAACACGAAGTGCCGTGTGACCCAGCAGAGCTGAAGCACTGCCCCGAGTCCTGCAAATGGCAGTTGCAGAGCACAGTGACCGTGCATAGGCCGTGAGAGCAGCTAGGGATGGGAGTTCCCGCAGTGCAGCGAAGGAGAGATTGATTGTGACCAGGTCCTCGGAGGTGGCTCCTGACCCGCGAGAGCCTGTGCTGATCAGACATACGACCTTGTGGGCACGTTGGAGCAGTCTCCTCAGAGAACCCAGAGAAGGCTCAACCCTGAGAGTGTTCCATATTTCGCCAAAATACCTGTCAGTGTCAGACTGAACTGTGTGTATAAGAGTTAAGGGGGTTGAAAGAGCATCAGGGAAGGGGGCCCCCAAACCTCTTCTGCAGGCCCCAGGCCTGTGAGACCGTGTGTCCTCTCAACCCAGTCACGGGGCTCTCGGGCTCCTGGGCCGTCCATCAGCATCTGTAGACTTGAATGGAAGGGCAACACGCAGCCTGAGAAGTAGACCTGGAAAGGGGTGGGGGTTCCTCCCTGCTTTTCTTTGATCTCCTCAGTGTTCCATTCCACAGTTACATTCTGTGTGCACGAATAGTTTAAACGGTTAAAACATTTCAGCGGGAGAGCAGAGCTGTCCCTTCTCAGAAACCGAGAAGGTGATGATGACAGTGAATTGTGTCTCAGCCGACCACTGGGTGACATGCCTGGTGCCAGATGCCTTCTGTTCCTTAAAACTGACCTGGTGGTGACTGGCCAGAAGAAGGGGTTCTTCTCATCCCTCTTTTCCAGTTGGGGTACCAAGGCCCAGAACGTTTTTCCTAGATGTTCCTGAAACACCTTTTCTCAAAGTGGAGTCGGAATCTGAGCCGGGTCTGTCTGACCACTGCCTCGCTGTCCCCTCCTGTGGGGGCTGTTAGTCTCACGCTCCCGTCCCTGGCACCGTGTCCCCGGCCAGGCGCCTGCCCCTCCTTCCCACGTCTTCCTGCAGGAAGCCGACTGCGCCTGAGATCAGTCCTTTCCTGGGCCTAGTCTGACTCTGGGCCTGCAGCACACTGTCCAACACCACATTATGTAGTGTAGCTTTTTACATTTTTTTCATTGAGAATGAATTAGATTTTTCACTCCTTAGAGGTCCCCCACTGGGACACACTTAATACCGTAAGTTGTTTCAGCTGATCTGAGGTTTGCCACCGAGGATCAGCCGCTTCTCACCTTCTTTGCGGAAGTCAGGATCCTTCTTCCCAAACTCGCACACCATTCGAAGCCCCTTGGAGTCATCCACTCTTTCCTCCCTCTTCTCCTCTGGAGGGTCCCGTCCCCTCAGGCCAGTGTAACAAGACGCAGAGCAGGAACTTGATGGAGCTGACGGGTTGCTGCTCGGGTGGAGGGAGGGTTTGGGTATGAGAGATTTGGCTCCCTTAGGAGAGGCAGACAGTGGTGGAGTGACTGAAGCATAGATTCTGGAAGCAGACTTGGGTTCAAGTCCCGACTCTGCCATTTACTAACTCCGGTACTGTGGACAGGTCACGTAACCTCTCTGAACCTGGGTTTCCTTGAAGAACAGACTGGCGGTCCCTAGAGGTGGGGAGTGGGGGTGGGTGAAGTGGGTAAAGGTGGCCAAAAGGTGCAAACACCCAGTTATGAAATGGATACATCCTGGGGATGTAATGCACAGTGTGGAGAATGTCGCATGGTATGTTTGGAAGTTGCTAAGAAAGTAGATCTTAAAAGTTTGCATCACAGGAAAAATTTGTAGCTGTGCGTGGTGATGGATGTTAACTAGACTTACTGTGGTGGTCATTTTGCTATATATGCAAATATCAAATCATTACATTGTACATTTGTCTTTATGTATCTGCAGATAGATATATCTATACATAAGCCTGTCTATAGATGTATGTAATAAAATTTTCATCTACTTGATTCTAAAAAAAGCACTTAAATCAGTACTTTGCACAGAGCACTTCGTACATTCTTAGCCGTGAAAACCCCCACAAAAACAAGTAAACCACACGACTGTAGGTGGTGTGGGTGTGGTGGGTGCGAGCAGAAGGCTTGCAGGGGTGTCCGGCCTCGTGGCGTCTCAGGGCCTCACTGGAAGAGCAGGAGTTTTCTTGGGCCCCGCGTTAACTACATTGTGACACATAATCACAAAAATAAATCTCATAATGTTTTAAGTCAGTTGACGATGTGTTGGGCCACACGCACAGCCGTCCTGGGCCGCAGGTTGGACACCCCTGTCAGACGGAATGAGCTTTAGATCCGTGAGAGCTGGTGGGGGCGGCAGTGTGCGTGTGAGGACTTCCATGGGGATGTGGGAACCGCCCGAGGCCCTCTAAGAAGCAAAGCTAGAGGAGAGCCCCGTGATGTTTCTGAGGCAGGGGCTGAGGGAGCCCTGGCCCGGGAGCGCCTCTTATGGTGGAGGGTACTGGTGCCTCGAATTAGGACAGACAGAGGCCCCAGTGCGTGCACCAGCCTGCCTGCTGACTTTCTTTTTCTCTGTCTAGTGATCTCCTGATGAGGGACAACCTGTTTGAAATCATCACAAGCTCCAGGACCTTCTACATACAGGTAACGAGCTCACTCCAAGGAGGCTCTGATGTTCCCTTTCTGTGAATGGGGTCCTCACAGGCCTTGCCCTTTCCTGTGCTTTCTCTTTTATTTTGTTTGAAGTTTCTAGTTGGTAAATTTAGCCCCTGAAAGTCAGTCTGAGTCCCATTTTATTCTAAACAGGATGTTTGCCAAAAGCTTCCCAACCATAAAATAATAAGAGCAGGTCGAGCCCCTGTGCCGGGGAACGCGCCCGTGGACCAGCTGCTCTCAGCCGCTGGGCGCCAACTAAGCAGAGAAAAGGAGAACTGGTCAGTGGTTTCACTTCTCCTTCGGAGGGTATTTATAAGCTCCGCCCGAGTGTGGTCATCGCTGCGTGCGGAAGGACAAAAGCGCGGAGGCCCCCGTGCAGGCACCAGGTGCAGAGCCCAGCTGCACAGAGAAAGCCATTGTTTGGGCTCTGACCGCTCAGCTATCAGAAGCTTCTCCCCTCCACCCACAGCCTTGGAGTTCTCCCAACTCCTTCTAAAATCATAGGCGCTAGGAAGGCACATTTCCAAGCAGGGCCCAGACTTTCAGGGCCAAGTCCCCACCCAGCCCGCCTAGCAGTCCGCAGAGTGTGCCTTGGTCCGTGCGGCATCGTGATAATGCTGCATTTCTAGCAGAACACTGTCATGTCGTGTGTTGGTTTAAATGGGGGACTCCTCAACCAGCTCTTCAGGGTTTCCCGTGCCCTTTCCTCTTTGTTTTAGCTGTGTTCTCCCTTCCACAGGGGTCACCCCACCCCTGTTGATTGGGTAGCAGCTCTGTTCAGCCCCTCTCTGAGCTGGCCCCCCTGCCAGAGCCCAGCCTTTGCCATCTGTGGGATCCACTCATTCAGACAAGCACTTGTCATCCCGGAGAGACGACGCAGGGAGCCACAGAGAGCGTTGCTGGGGGTGTGAGAGCGTCTCCATGGCTCTTCAGGGGTAGAGTTTGAATTGTAGGAGCAACAACAGCATTTCCAGGTCTGGCATTAGCTGATAAGTGTAGAGCATCTTTAGAATGCCAGGCATTTTGCCTCATGCTGGGGACACTGCATCACACAGAACAGATCCTGAGCCAGAGAGAGATAAAGTCAAGTACACAGGCAATTAAAACAGTGTGATGGGGGGGCGGAGGGGGTGCTGGATGGGTGAACACGGGAGTTTTTAGGGCAGTGAAACTATTCCGTGTGATAGTGTAATAGTAGATGCATGGAATAGAACTTCACAGCACCAAGTGTAAACCTTAATATAAGCAAATTTTAAAAAGCATTTAGGAGGTCAGGTGATCCCAGCACAGCATGCAGAATATGACAAAAGAAGCTAAATGTATCACTGGCGTGAAACTGCCACCCTGGTGGGGATAGGGGAATAAACAAGGACAGAAACAGTGTGGCGAGTGCTACCATTAGACTGAGTAGTAGTTGCCATGGGAACTCATAAGCAGGGCACCACCCCCAGTGCCAGGGAGTCAGGGGAGGTTTCCCGAGGGGAGACACGTCAAAGCCGAGTCAGCTGGGGGGAGAGTGGCCCAGGCAGAGGGAGGAATAGCATGTGTAATAAAAGCCTGGAGGTAAACGGAGCACGGGGCATCCTGGAGGCTGGAAAGCTCACACACAGGGCCCCAGCCTTGGCTGTCGTTAAAGAGCCTCTCTGTTATGCTGAGCGGTAGGGCCCCTCGAGGTTGAACTGCGGGGGTGACCCAATCAGACATACCTTCTAAAAATATCACTTGGGCAAGGGATGTAACTTGCAGAGCCTTGTTTTCCTCATCTGTAGAGTAGAGACGATAGCCTTCAACCCTGGCCCCAGTCACGGTGTGCTGGCTGTGAACTGCCTGGCCGAGTACATTGTGGAGGACAGGTGAGAAAAGGGGGAAGGCAGGAGTGAGGCGTAGTGTAGGTGAGGAATAAAAGGAAACCCACACTAGGGTGGAGGGACAAAAGTGGAAAATGTAAAAGCTATGAAGGAGTCCTCTCTAGGACTTGGGTGTTGGTTGGATGTGGGGTGCAGGGAGAAAGGAGAGGCGAGGGTGGCTGATGGCAGCGATCACCATGCCAGGAGGCTGGGAGGAGGGGCTGGGAAACACGGAAGCCCAGCAGAGACGGTTCTCAGTTTGCCCTGCCTCTGGGACCTCGAGGGCACGTGCTGCGAAGGTCCCTCGACAGACAGGGCCTGACACACTGGTGGTCGGAAGTAAGTGCTGGTCAGGTGACCGATTACGCTGGGTAGCAGTTAGGACAGAGCTTAGGGAAACATGAACCCCAGCAGTGACAGAAACGTTCAGAGGTTTTGCTTCATTTGCCTGAGCGTGAGCACGTTTACCAGGAGCTTCTCCTCACTGTAGCCTCCTTTGCCTTCTGCTCCCGCATTTCTGGGGTAAAAGGACACTGGCATCACCCTGAATACATGCAGGAGCCGACGGACGACTCTGTTTATCCCACCTAACTCAGAGAGGAATAGGAGGTTAGAGAAGAGATTAAAAGTCATTAAAACATGTATTCATTTGTTTTAAAATAGTAACCATAAACTCATTTGTGTTAAGACAAGTAACATTTTATGAAAAAGAACTATATTTCTAAAACAAAAAAGCAACAAGAGTAACATTATTTTTTGTGTTTTTTTTTGCAAATCTCTTTAATTTTAATGGCTGGCTTAGTAGAAGACAGCAGGATTCTCGTATGTGCCTCTGCATTCTATCTGGGGCCATATGTTGTTTTGATGGAAGACTATGAAGAAAATCTGGCCCCACATGGAGATATGTATTTGGGGGGAGGAAGGAATATTTTAATAGCATTTTCAGATAATTGTGGTTATTCTTCTTTGATTCTATACCAAAACTTGGCAAATGGTAGTTTTTTCCTATTTAGATGCAATGTGAAATTATAAGCCAATAATAATAAAGTTTCATACTCTTCCATTAAAATCCATTGGTCAGTTTGGCTCTTCGAATGAATCCTTTTACAAATGCATGATTTCTTAACTGTGTGCTTAAGTCATTTGGAAAATCATGAGATATGCAGATTTTCCAAATGTTGACCTATTTTATTACATAATATTTTAAAAAGTCACATTTGTTAATATCACCACCAGTATCACCAAGAAAATCTTCAAGTATAGAACACTGTCACGCTCATGGAGGGGAATATACATTACCTGAAATTCTGATTTTTGCTTTGAAATCTCAGATTTTATGATTTGCAAGAAAGTACTTTCACGATCTTCCTGCCAAACAGACTCATTAAGTTTTGGGAAAGAGTTTTTGCCTTGTACCTAAACCTGAAGAAGTTTGACGGGCAGTTTGTCAGCCGTTTGCTCCAAGCACAAAGCACGCGTCATGTAGGAAGTGAGAGAATATAATGGCTGCTCGTTCAGTGCGGCGCCAGCGGTTTTACCCCCATGCCAGAGTGGCGTTCTGATCTGCTTGCTAAGGTTTTATGCTCAGTGACTCTGCTTCAGAGAACCGTTCATGCTCAGTATCTAGGTAAGCTAGACTGTAGAGCTGGGGAGCTATGCAGAGAAGAGAAGCTCCATGGGCAGAAGAGAGAGACTTGGGCAACAGAATGGGGCTGGATTCTGGCTACGTAGGTGTTGTTACCTTCTCTGTCACATTGACCTTATAGGTCACATGTATGTATAATTTGTACCCTCTGGTCTCTCACACTGTAGCATTTCCTTTGTGTTAATTAAAGCTACCATTTATGGCCACTTTGCTATCCTAGACACAATGGTAATCAATTTGCGGGCAGCACGTGACTTAGTTCTTGGCAGTTTCTGAGGTCATCTGCGCTTTACAGATGAGGAAATGGAGTGTCGGAAGGTAAATTGTTTGAGATCATAAATCTGGTGAGCTGTGGGAGGGGTTCGAGGCACCAGATGCTGGGACAAGGCCTACTCATTCGTGCTGTTGACAAGCAACCTGGTGGAGAACCAGAGATGTAGAGGGTAGTCCGACTTGGTGTCGGGAAGACCAGCTTGGGGGAACCAGGAGTCCTGGCAGATGGGCCATGGCAACAGAGATGCAGGACCTGGCAGTAGTTGGCCACCTAAGCTTTTGATGTCAGCCAGCTCCTCGGCAGGTGCAGTTCTCACTTCTGAGCAAGGGTTCACAATGAGACTTTCGTCTTTGGAATACAAGGCAAGTGAGGCTCACCATTTCAGGTCAAGGATATTAGGCCGCTTATCAAGAGGAGGATTAGTTACTAGAAATAAGAAGTGTAGTGCAGGCTGGTTTTGGTGACTTGGCTTGAGCCCAGATGTCAACGCTGGAGGGCTGTGTCAGGACAGGAGTGACACTAAGAAGGCTCACACGTGGAGAGCCAAGTGCCGAGCTAGAACTTTTGGATACTTACTGTTTCAACTTAGACTACGAGGTGCATAACACCCCTCAGAACGAGGTTGTGTATGTAACCTCAGCAGTCAGGTGGCAGAGCTGTGTCTAAAGAAGGTCTGGTGCTTGGGGAGAGAGCAGGGATGGGAATGGAATGAAGAAGTAGATACTGGAAACCTTTTACTGATGGCCTCTAGAGTTCCTTGCTTCGAACCATTGCATCTGTTACCATGCTGGGCTCACAGTAGATATTCATGAAGAGCTCACTGGACTGCAATAAAAAACAAAACAAAACAGACTGCAGTGACTCATTTTAATGCCCTTTGTTCCCCTCACCTCAAAAACTGCCCTGTTGCTTTTGGACCAGGCACCAGAAATGAATGCACACGTTTCAGCGCCAGGGAAAGATGAAGGCGTGAGCGTGGCACGCCTTTTCGGTTCTCTGCTGGGAGCCTTTTACAGTCGCAGTGATTCACCGTGGGGTGGGTGGATTTCAGCTCGGTTTCTTGCCGGTGGTTCATGAAGCTACCTTTGGGATATGGCTTTAAGGTGTTTCTCAGTTCTTGATAAAGGCTAAGCCCAGGCTTTTCATGAAAGACAGATAGATAGACACATATATCACAGTTTTTTGCATACCATCTTTGAGGTTTCACTGAATTTTTGTTGCCAGTGGATCTCATTCTTAAAATCACTGGTAGAGATTGTAATTGTGACCGCGATGAAGTAACAATCTGTTTCTTCTCACGTGGGATCCGTTACAGTACCCACTTTTCTGTTTGAGTAACATTAAATAGCTTTTATTAAACATTAAAATAATGTTTCCTGATGTTTATTATTGCCACCATTAACATGGTTGGGTTAACTACCTAGATTATCTGACAGAAAAAGGTCCTTAAACGGAACTAGAAAATATAATCAGCAAACAATTTCCATTTCTATTAATTACTAAGTGTTTTTAAAAAAAGGAGATTTGATTCTTTTGCCTATCAATTAGCAAAGATTTTTAAAAATTGTAGTATGTAGTTCTAGCAAGGGTGCATGTAAAAAATATATTGTTGGTAAATGAGATTTTCATGTATCGTTGGCCAGAAACATTTCTGGCCAAATGTAAGATCCAGAGAGGAATGCATACTCTCGAATCTGGTGGTCTCCCTGGGGGTTGAAACTCTTAAGTATGAAAACCGTTTATGCACAAAGGTGTGAACAATAGCATTGTTTACGATTGGAAGAGAGTTGGAAACGATCTAAACATGCTTTAGAGGATTTTTGTGCTTGCGTCCCCAGATGTTAAATCAGGGGATTCCTAGATTTCTGTGACTCAGTGATTCCTTGCTAAGTGGAGGCTGGGGTATGTTGAGAGTTTGTTGGTCAGGTCTCAAAGGACAATTAGGTGGTGGCCTTTGGCTTCTGGTTGTAACATTCGACTTGGGGGCAGTGTTTTGCTAGGGTGATGGAAGGAGTGGATGTAGCTTAACAGCGCTGGAAACTAATTATTGGGTTGTCATCGTGGGGGTCCCTTAGGTGATGTGGGAGACCTCTGTCTCTCCCTCGGCTCCCCTCTCTGTTTTTCCCTCTATCTTGTAACATTTTCCCTGTCAAATCGCATCTGCTTCCCTAGAAGGAAAATCTCTAAGAAATGCTTTCCCATTACCTCCATCTCATTCCAATTCAAAATAACCCTTCTCCCCCCCATATGTTATTTTATTTGATCCTGATAAGGTGACCATTTACATAGGAATTATCTACAGATTGAAGGGAAAAAGTCTCAGGGAGAGGGCAGTGCACATACTTATAATGTTGGCATTTAAGGCTTCATCTAGATCCTTCATATGTAGTCATAATAATGATATGACTAATACTTATAAAGCCCTTTCTATGTATCACACACTGTTCAAACTGCTTTACCTGCAAAAGTTTACTTAATTCTCCCAATAGTTCTACTTGTAGACAGGCTAGCTCTGATACTAGTAAAATACATTCTAGAAGAACCTTGGAGATCTTGCCCTGGTTATTTTTTTGGACTAGGGGTGGATTTGTCTTCTTCTTGGGGAACCACCGGGTTGTCAGATAACTGGAAAAAGTCCGGAAGGGACAGGGTGCGGGCACATTTGCAGCTCTAGCGTGTGAGAGAGGTGTCCCCTTGGGCACGTGTTGCCACACGCTTTTGACCCAGTGTGCAGGGCGTGAAACTGTTTCCCTTGCAAGTTTCTCCTGCACACATCTCACCAAGGGAGATTTGTTTGGGGTGACAGAAAGGGACAGGGATGCCTGATCATGTATGATCTTGATAAAATGCAAAGAGAAAGAATCATGTGGGGGATGGGGAAAGTGAGGGGCACCTGTGCAGAATTTTGCAGTTTGCGTGTACCTGTGCACGGGCATGCAGATGCATGCTTGGGAACTGGGGTGGAACTGTTTGGGGAGGGCGCAGGGGGACAGAGAGAGGTTAATACATATGAATTTCTGGAGGTCAAGGATTCAGCCTTGGTCCCATCTCTGTGCCCAGCACCTCAGTAAATGTATGCTGGTTCACCTGAACTCAGCCTCTCTAAGGCTGGAAAGCATTGGTAACTCCCAGGACTCCCCCTGGTGGCTTTTCTTCCTTTCTTCTCAGAGCCGCTGCTGCCCCCTTCTGGGCTTGGTAGGTATTTCTGGGGGAAATACTTTTTAACAGTGGGCAGGGTCCTACATGTTGATGAGCTTAGTGCACCAAGCCTCACAACTCTGAGGCCTGGATGGAGAGTCCAGACAGACCCAGCTAGCTCGCTTTGAGACAAGACCTGCTGGGAGATAATACACACCTGGGAGACTTTGTAGAGGATTTGGCTTTAATGGGACTGGAGTTGAAAATAGGAGTATTCTGTTCAGATACCTGTAGTAGAAAGATGACAGCATTGGGACATAGGAGAACTGGTATGTAGACCAGCCATAGGGCCTCATTTTCATTTTCTACAAAACCGGACCAGGCCAGCTGTGTTCCAGAGCGGGCGAGAGACTTCAGCAGGGGCTGGGCCTCCCAGCTCTGCTCTCCCTCCTGACGTCCCTCAGGACACGTTGCAGAGCAGGCTCTACTTTGGGCCGTTTTATTTGTGAAGTATCAAATATTATTTTTACAGGGGAAAAAATGTTCTCAAAAGTCTGAAGCCACTGGACTAGATGATCTCTGAGATTCTTCCAGCTCTAATGATGTGATTTGATGAATTTAGAATTGAGTCAGAGACTTGAAAGCTGAAATCATAGTGCCCAAAACGTCTGTGTTAAGTGCCGTGGGTGTTTTGCAGGCGGACAGTCCAGAAGACATGCACAGCTGGATTAAGGAGATCAGGGCAGCTGTCCAGGCCCTCAAGTGCCACCCCAGAGTAAGTCACTTCCTTTCGGTTGCACGGTCACTGTCAGCTTAGCGATGACTGCCCCGAAGCCTGCAGGCTTTATTTGGGGATGCAGGCAGGCAGCCTGGTCCCAGCCGAAGCCCAGGCGGTCTTGTGTTTCTCTTTCGACGGACTTGGGCACACATTTTTATTTTTTATTCTTTATTGTCAGAGGAGGTGAGGCAGGGCTGGGCCGAGAAACAGTTTCCCGTGTGTTGTGCACGTACACCTCCCTGCCAGGCAGAACTTGACGAGTCTGGCGTGAATCCCATTGGACCTATTAGGTTTCCGAAGACAAGTGTCTCCGGACCTGTGAGGTGGTGAACCTGGGTGCTTTTCCAGGGGCCTTGGGATGTTGATAAACAATGATAAACATTGTCAGGAAAGTCCTTACTTTCCTTTATTTTTCTTCCTTTTTATTTTTGCAGGACCTATCCTTTTCTCGATCCATTTCTTTGACCCGCCCTGGAAGCTCCAGCCTCTCCGGCGGGCCCAACTCTGTCTTCGGCAGGGGGCGGCCGCCTGTGGAAGAGAAGAAGGCCCTCTGCAAAGCCCCCTCTATGGCCTCCTCCTGGCAACCCTGGACGCCCGTCCCCCAGGCCAGAGAGAAGCTCCAGGTGGCTGAAGAGACTCCTGAGGACTCTTTGTTCACGTCTCGACTTGGGGAGAGCAATACGTCTGGGGTATTGCCCAGCTCCCGGATAAGGCACCGATCAGAACCCCAACACCCCAAGGAGAAACCATTTATGTTCAACCTCGATGATGAGAACATACGGACTTCTGATGTGTGATGAGGCGCAGTGCGCTGGGAGGGTGGGGTGGGAAGGACTCAAGAGGAGGAGGCCGTGACTCAGTTTCCCTGTCTGTTGGAGGATAGTCAGAAGTCTTTATACCACTCATATTCCTGTGGATGCTATGTGGGAGGGGCCCATCCAGCTGGCTTTTATACAAAAAATCAGTGCAGGGTATTTAATTTGGGAAAATCACTAGGTTAGACCTGTAGGCATGCTCAGTGGAGAGCAGGCGGACTCTTGTTCGACTGTTGCAAGGTCACCCTAGTGAGAGGAGGTTGGAATTCCAATCTCGTCCCCAACTAAGTTTTATTTGCTTGTCCTTGTTTTAGCTCCTTCCCTTTGTTGTCAGGACAGGCACAGAATCTTAGGCCAGTGATCTGGTTTTATCCTATTCCTGTTTTTTGGCCAAAGTTTGACTGTGAAGTAGAAGGGTGGCAACTAACCCACCTGAAAGGAGGGAGGAGTGGGGGATGAGCCAGGCTCCACTTGACCGGGGTTCATTTTGAGGGGAGGTGTGACAATCTGGGGGCTGGCCGATGACCCTCAGAATGTCTGCCAGGGCAGATCCCCTGGGAACCCCGCAGGGGGAGACATAGAGACCTCTTGTAAGGCAAGGGGAATGATTCACTTAGTGCAGCAGTTTTGAGAATTACTCCGTTCTTGTTTAGATGTGCTTTGACCCCAAATACTGTCAGTGTGAGGGACAGACCAGCCCAACCTGGTTTCTGTGTCCGGCCCCCAGGGATGGGCTTATCAGTGTTAAATGTTATGACGACTGAGAACAGAGCAGACATTTCTCTTGATGTGGTGTTATGTTGGGATGTGTGGAAGGTTGATATGTATGTGATAATTCACTTGTGTGATAGATCAGATCTCTGTTTTAGAGTTTTAGATTTGCTTTGAAATAGGTGCCGGGAAGAGATGGATTAGAGTTCACCAAGCTAAGTTTTTTGGATCCATGTTTTCCAGACATAAGGAAAGGTCTGTTTTAGCAGAGACAGGTTGTCTTGAATCCTTGCCTCACAGCTCTTTTTTGATGGGCCAATATTAGTCTAAATTTCAGTGCTGTAATAGTGTATACCCTGGCAGGTTGCTTTCTTTTTATTCTTTGTGTTGCCCTTTGAGTGAAACCTTGTGTATTTGCATGATCCGACCTTGTAATCTGATGCAGTTCCATGTAGTTAAGAGCAGAGAGATGCAAAGATAATCTTGATAGATATTTATATTTTTAATAAAATAGAAACTGCATAGAAACATTGATTTAGAGGCTATGTATCACCAACTAGAGATTTCCTAGGTAGAAGAGCATAGATGGCATTTTCCACCCAAATTTTAGGGTGTGCCTTCTCTCATTTGACAAAAGGGTACTATTTCTGGGGTTCCTGGGAGGATTCGTCTGTCCAATTTACATGGTGAATTGCTACTGGGAACTTATCAGGGTCCCCTAAAGGGAGAGAAAACATAACTCATTTTTGTCTATAACTTTTATCAGCTAGATCAACTAATTATATCTTTAAATTAAAAAATTAATGACTAGCAGAAGAGGCTAAGAGAAGCTTTTTTCACCTAAGTAAATCCCTTTCCCTCCTTATGTCCAAATCGAATGCAGAGGCAAAAAGATGTGACCAGAGAATCCTTAGTGACTTGAGGGAAATCTTAGGTTTTTTCCCCAGAACTGCAGCTTCCTGGAAGTCAGTGTCAGGCTGAAAATGATTCTTGACCGCACTGTGTCGAAGCTGTCCTTCGCTGGCACCATGTGGCCCCCCGGTCCTGGTATCAAAAAGGACATCTGCTACTGTATCCATCTCTCTCTCCCCTGCCCCCTCTCTCCTTTCTGCAGACTCTTGTGTACTTTTGTCCTCAGAAATCCTCGTTTTGGGAATTATTTATTTGTGAGTAGTCAGGGTTACCACATACTTCAAGTAGCCTGCTTTCAAGACGTCATTCCAAATTCTCAAAGCTCCTTGTCTCAGGTTTCGTATTCCAGTTTTCCTCCAGAAAATTGTTTGGCTAGATCAAAGAAAGTGCACAGTAAGTGATACTGAATTAATGAAAATAAACTGGGGACTCTTGAGATCTCTAAACATTCCCTATCTCATGAAGAGTTTCAGTTATAAAAGTCTTTTGGTGTTTAAATTATAAAAATCTACCCATCTCTCTTTTAAAAATTAAACTCTCTGTTAGATTATTACTGCTAAAAGAATTGGCCATCAAGTAAGCTAATAATGTTTCTTATTCAGTAAGGTCTATTTTGAGAATGTGTTAAATTAAACATGCTTATAAATCCAGATTGTATTGTCATGATAGAGGGAAAAACAAGGACTCTAGCTGGCAACTACTTGGGAGTTTCAAGTCAGAACATTGTTAATGTGGTTCCAACACTAGAGAAACAGAATTATCTTCAGATGAAGCTTGAATGCGCTCTCATTCCCAAACCTTATTTCAGAACTCCTTTTGTGTCCGTATTTCTTACCTTCTGGCCAGTTTCACATCACAGCCTTCTGATGCCGTTATACATGTGAGCCAAAGATGTATGTATGACTGAAGTGTTTGGTTTTAAATGTATAAAATGGAACCAAATGGAAAAAATAGGGTGAGGATGCACTATAGGTTAGTAGTTAAGTTCATAGGCTCTGGAATAAATCCGAGTTTTAAAAAAAGGAACTGAGAAAGGTACTGCATTTTCTCTGTGGAATAAACAAACCTCTGAGTTGTGCTGTTTTTCATAAGCTTTTGGCGGGGTCGTGACTCACTGTATGTAGCAGCATTCCAAGTGGTCTTCCCAATAGCTGAACTACTCACCGTCCACTGTTATGCAAAGCTTAAGGGTTTGCTGTCTCAAGTCAGCTGATGGTTGCTAAACACAATTGGGCCCTTTGCGCACTGTGAGACATCATAAACATACATTGACTAGAGTGACCTCAGGTCAAAATGTTGGAATTACACATCTGTTTCTGGGCAGGATGCTGGAAGACGCCCATGAGAAACAGCAAATGTAAGGTCCAGCTTCGGAGTTCACTTGAAGCAAAAGTTTTTTTCCTCTTCCTGAGCATAACCGCTCTGACGTAGGCTAAAAGGACCCAATAAAAAACTAGCAGGTTCAGTAGTTGAGCAGTGGGATTTGAGGTTTGTTTTCACTGTGAACCAAGTAAACAGGCATATGTATGTGAAAATGTTTTGGAAATGGAGTTTCCCAAGTCAGCTGTGTTTAAAAATGTTGAACATGCCAGAAATGGACAGGTTTACTAAACCTTTTTATCAAGGTCACTTTTCGCCTTATTCCCGTGGAGCTGTTTGACCCTTCCCCTGCTGCTTGGGACGGTGCGGCATGATTCCGTGTTTGAACCCGTGTGTGTCCGCTGTGAAATGCGCTCGCGCCGTAAGCCCTGAGCTGAGTGCATGGAAACTGTTTTGCTTCTCATTTTATGTGATCTCTGAATTGGTATGTAGCAAAAAATAATTTTCTAAAACTGTTTTGTTGCTTGTTTTGTAATAAAACCATGTGAAATACTGAAATGCGGTGTGTTTTCCTAACGCTGACCTTGGATGGGTGATCGCTCTTGTCAGCCTGCCCCCATTGGTGTCGCGGACTTCACGAAGTAGGTCCCTGCCCAGGGTAGGGCTGGGCCCCCCGGCCAGGGGGCGGGGTGGGGGTGGGGGTGGCCCTGGGGAGAGACGGGTGGTGGGAAGATGTGTGGGTGTGGGTGCCGACAGGCCTGCCAGGCTCTGCCCCGTAAGCCGGAGACGGTGGAGGCGGCACCCCAGCCGGGGCAGAGTGCTGGTCATTTAAGAGAGGTTGAGGTTCCAGAGTAAAGCGAGTGGAAGAGTGGGAGGGAGAAGGGAGCAGGATGACCAGACCATTGCTTCGACGAGCTGGGCTCGGACAGTTCCTGCTGCTGTGGCTGCTGCTGCCGCCGGTGCCCATTCCCAGGGTGGAGGCTCGGAGGACGTGGCGCTCTCCGTTCTGCCCCGCGGTCTGCGAGCCGATGCGCTGTCCCCCGCTGCCCACCTGCTCCGCGGGGCCGGTGATGGACGGCTGCGGCTGCTGCCGCGTGTGCGCTGCGGCCGAGGGTGAGGTCTGCGGTGGGGCGCTCGGCCGGCCTTGTGCCCCGGGGCTGCAGTGCGGCGCGCCGTTCAGCCTCCAGCGCCTGGGTGGCACCCGGGTGGGCACCTGCGGCTGCCCCGCGACTGGGGCGGCTGTGTGCGGCAGCGACGGGCGCACCTACCCCAGCCTGTGCGCGCTCCGTGCTGAGAACCGCGTCGCACGCCGCCGTGGGGTACTCCCGGCCCTGCCGGTGCAGAAGGGAGACTGTCAGGATCCAGGTAGGTGTCGGGGCCCCGGGCTCTGAGGGCACTTTTGGAACTTTCTAAGGGAATGTATTTCAATCACGCAGCTCGCCAGGGATTCTACTCTTCTCCATTGGCCTTAGGGATTCCACTCGTTCCTGATTTTATTCCCCTTTTAGGTTTAGGCGTCTCTCTACCAATTCCTTTGTATTTTCCCCCCAGTTTTCCTCCCCACACCTGTTAAAGGCCATCTTCCGTTTTCCTCCCTCCCTCCCTTCCTTTTTTCCTCTTTTCTTTTTCTCTCTTCCCTTTCTCCCTTCCTTTTTTCCTCTTTTCTTTTTCTCTCTCTCTTTCCTCCCTCCCTCTCTCCCTTCCCCTCCTTCCCTCCTTCCCTTCCTTACCGGCATGAGGGGTCTGGTTCCCTCAAGCCCTGTGTCCTTATGGGATCGCAGGGAAAAACACTGATGGGGGAGGCTGAAGAGCAGAAGCCGAGGGAAGGTGGAGGGAGACGCAGGGGAGAGATGGAGAGATTTGAGATGGTACCCCTGAGAGGGTCAAGAGGCGAGGGTCCCATTGTCCCCAAGAATGGAGCATTTTTTCACAGGGACCAGAAGTGCAGGCTGGCTCAGGAGCAAGTACAACTTCATCGCAGAGGTGGTTGAGAAGGTGGCGCCATCTGTGGTTCATTTGCTGCTGTTTCGCAGGTAAAGGAGGTAGGAGGAGGTCATCCGCTAGCTACCCGCTGATTTTCCGCTCCCGGCCCCGCATAAAGCATCAGGTAGTGGTAAAAATCGTGAGACTCAAACAGGTGCAATTACCTGGTCAAGGTCATTGAAGGGATAGGGATTCTGACTTCCAAATCTGAGAGCTCCTACACACTTTAGATGGCTGGGAGTTTTCTCTCCCCCACCTCCCACAGACCAAATTAAAAGTCAGGAGCAAGAGCTAGAGAGCAGCTGGACAGTCTTGCTCAGCCCCCTCACTGCCGTGGAAGGAAATCCCCTGCCACAAGGCCGGTTGGTAGTGGAACTGAAACAGGAAACAGATTTCCTGGACTCCGTCCCTGCCTGGGTCCTCCCGATTTGGCACTAGGTCTACTTTTGCCCACAGTATTGTGGTTAGGGGGTTAGGTGAGGTTAGGCCTCTTTGAAGGTTGCTGCTCTGAGCCACCCTGAAGAAGGGTGAGTCCCTGGAAAAGGAGAGCTGGAGTCGGTCCTCCGTGGCCACTGAACCTGCAGAGTCCAGCTATACATGGAGAACATGAAAACACAGGCAGGGCAAAGTAAAATGTATGAGAAAACTGTGCTGCAGGTGTGCTCGATAAACGTGAGGTTCCCAGACTGCGGTGGGTGCCCTCGCTGCCCTGCCCTCTGCTTATGCTGCTGTCTTGCTGAGACAGGTCCCCTCTCGGCGGGGAGGAGATTCCTGCATCCAGTGGCTCTGGGTTCATCGTGTCTGAGGATGGGCTCATTGTTACCAATGCCCATGTCCTCACCAACCGGCAGCGAATCCAGGCAGAGCTTCAGAGTGGGGCCCAGTATAAAGCCACTGTCAAGGACGTTGACCATAAATTGGATCTCGCGCTGATTAAGATTGAGCCAAATGTGAGTATGCGAGGGCTAAATCAGAGCCTGTGTATTGGGGGGATTTTCATCAATTTGCTCATATTTTCTCCCCCACCTCCATTTTCACCCACACCACATCTTTTCACCCAGTGTATGCTGTTTTCTAATTTCCTCATTTTCTGTCTTTTTTACTCTCTCTTTTGTTTATTTTCTTCCATGCCAGTCAGTACACCCATAACAATTTCTATTAACTATAAAGCAGTCTTTTTTCTTCTTCTTCTTCACCATTTTCTTCAATAGATGCTGCTTCTAGGAAATTTATTTACCTTAGAGTACTCTCTTGGAGTACCATGAATGATCGCAATGATTTCAGAGCGGCTAAGGGATACTTTGAGGTCCTGTTCTATCAAGGGTGGTCTGCACAGTAGTGGCATTGACATTATCCAAGCAATCTTTAGAAACGCAGAATCTCAGATCCCAGCCAGCTCTACTGAGTTAGAATCTGAGTTTTCTTAAGCTCCCTAGGTGACTCGTTTGAGAGGAGCTGCTCTGGGTGATCTTATTTATTTATTTATTTATTTATTTATTTATTTAGTGGCCAATTAACTCTGTAAAGTTTTGAGCTGGACCGGTGCTAAGCAAATTGCTAATGTCAGTTCATGTTCATCAGTTACTTCACTTGTGGTTTATTTATAGTAATTTCTACAAAGCAATATTTTTAGACTTTAGAGATGATCCCAATCATCTTGAGAAGTGAGAGTTGGGGGACATTCTTGGATTATAAATGCCCAAAGACACAGACTGTGTCGTACATGTGTTGTTGCACACAAACACTGCTTGATTCTCTTCTTGGTTTGTCCTCCCCATCCCTCCTTGCCCTTGTGCAGACTGACCTTCCTGTACTGCTGCTGGGAAGGTCATCTGACCTGCGGGCTGGAGAGTTCGTGGTGGCCCTGGGCAGCCCATTTTCTCTGCAGAACACAGTAACTGCAGGGATTGTCAGCACTACACAGCGAGAGGGAAGAGAACTAGGGCTGAAGGATTCAGACATGGACTATATCCAGACCGATGCCATAATTAACGTAAGTCACTTGGGAGGGCCACTGTGAGCCCATAAGATACTGGAAGTGCGATGGGGAGAACAGTGCAGAGTGCCTTCTTTTCCTTTTGGCCTTTTGGCGATGTCCGGAGTTCAGTTAGATCCTTATGAGAGGGATGGAATGCCTTGAAGTTAAGAGTTCAGCCTGTTTGATATGATAACTGGCGTCCATGATGTTGGGTGGTCTGTTAGGGTCTGTCAGAGGGCTCACCGGGCTGCAGGCAGTGGGGGTCCTTCTGCTGTCGTTCTTTACCTGCAGTGACTTCAGTATTGATGATGATGGGGGCAGTGGGGGACAACTCTGCCTGCCTTGGGGGTACAGGGGCTCACTAGAGCAGGCTGCTTCCAGTAAACCTGTTTAGGAACCATGAGTAGTTGACAAGGAGAAAAGTACTGATGGCTTTTTCAAATTCTGTCTTCAGCACGGGAACTCTGGGGGCCCTCTGGTGAACTTGGTAAGTGGCTGCTTTCCTTGCTGCCTCATGTCTCTTCCTTTTAAAGACTTCATAAAGTCCATGGTGCAGACTGATCCAAGTGTAGAAATCCGTGGTATGATGCTTTGCTATGACCGCATCTTACGCCAACGGTTAAGGAGAATCTCAGATCTGCAGTGGATTTGTCATCCTGGCATGTGGTCTCACCCAACGGAGAGCATCAGGGTTTACTAATACTTTATTTACATCTCTTCAGCATGCTTTCTGTGTTCGTTGGGTAGTTAACAAAGTCCTGGGTACTAGCTCAGACCCATGTCAAACGGCCAACTGTACTGTGTAATGTACTTCCTTGAAGACCCCCTGCTACCTCCTGTGAAGGACTGTCTCTCATCCCAAAATGCTGATTTAATGACGTGGCCTGTCCGGGTTTCTAGTCTTGATCCTCTTAGATGACAGAAATGCCACAGCGCAAATCCACTGCTCTGTCACATATTTAACTCTTACATTTTATTCAGTCTCCGTAGCGGAAATGCCGGCGCTCCTTGTTGCTCAGACGCAGGTGGAAACACGAGAGGGCAATGCTGTTTGGCACAGCCTGTGATCATGTGATCATGCTCTCTGGGTTTCTGAGCCGATCGGTTCTGGTTCATCTTTACATATTACACTTGCTTGTAGGAGGATGAACTGTACATGAAGTTGTTGAGAGCTTTTACTCGTAACATTGCACGCAATTTTTTGTGCCTTCTTTCTCCAGTACACAATGAGTTCCCTAGACCAGGGGTCACATGCAGAATTTCCGGCCACCCTCCAGACCTACTGAATTACAATCTGTATTCTTACAGGATTAAACATTTCATCAAATAATATAACTTTTTAAATCCTTCCTGTTACCTAATAAAGGCTACAGGATGATGAAGTGCACGAAGAGGAAAGTACTTCTCACTTCATAGCTTTGGTTTAGTAGAGCTTTGTTCCCAAAGTCAATGTACCAATTCTTCTGAATAATTTCACTGAAGTGTTGCTAAAAACCTAGCAGCCTTTTGACTTTGCCATGTTTATTTTTAGCTTCATTTAAAGAATGAAAAGGCAAATACCTTATTTTTTTGAACTATAAGACGCATCCCCTCCTCC